TCCTCAATTATATACTCTTTATAAGATGGTATATATATATATATATATATATATATATATATATATATATATATATATATATATATATATATATATATATATATATATATATATATATATATATATATATATATATATATATATATAGCAACTCTTACCCCACCCCGTCAATGCTCTCAACGAGACTAAAAACTAACATCTCGACCTGATCCATACTCCCGGATCTAAATCTAACCTCTCGACCCGATCCATACTCCCAGATCTAAAAACAAATAATTATGTCTTGTCCATCCTCCCGGACTAAGGACAATTGACTATGTCTTAATGTATACTCCCGGATTAATGACAGACTATATGTCATGTCCATACTCCCGGACTAAGGACAACTGACTATGAAGGGTGCATGTAGCTGAATGTGATGATATTACACCTTGAAATCACTTTCTCATGGGATGAATCTGGGGCAATATATTTCAAATTGGTTTAATGTTATCTTAAAGTAAATGTTTCACATATTTTAGCCTTAATTTCTTGCATTAATGTATATGCTGATGCAGGTCATTGCTATAAGAAAACAAACAACATAGGTTTTATCTTTTCAACTTCCATATACTAGTATGATTCTACTTTACTCATAAACCATATGCATTTGGCACCCATTCTTTGCAAAAACATAAACATAAAGAATGGGTGGCAAATGCATATGGTTTATGAGTAAAGCAGAATCATACTAGTATATGGAAGTTGAAAAGATAAAACCTATGTTGTTTGTTTTCTTATAGTAGTGACATCACATAAACATTATGCATGGAATTATAGTTGAAAATGTGAAACACTTACTTTAAGATAACATTAACGCAATTTGACATATATTGTCCCACCTTCATTCCCTAAGAAATCAGGATCTCATGGTGTAACATCATAAAATGTAGGTTCAGTTACATTCTCGATTTCTATACAAAAATATAAAATAAAAAAAACGCACACACACACACATCAAAACAAAATATCCTAAATTATAAAAATAATTTTCGAAATTTACTCGATGCATATCCTAAATGAAATAAACAATTTTCATAATTTACATGATGTATATCACCACTCCAAAAAAAAATCACTACTCCAAAAGATTGAAACTCCCCCAACCGTTTGAGTCACCTAGTGATTCGTGCTCCTACATTCAACATGTTATAAGAAAAAATGCATATTATACTCTCATCATTGTTTCTTTCTTACCATATAGTTGAACTTGTCAAATTTGAACAAAGTCGGTACGAAATTTACAATTATAAATCACATGTGCAACTTGAAGTGTATAAAAGTCATATAGGCTATCTTCATGTAACTTATTTTTTTTCCTTTTACTAATCATCATGTATCTGCAAAAAGAACATGGAAATTCAAGGACACTATACGGTAATGGAATGTAAAATACACAAAAAATAAGTCAATAAGGCAATCGACTACCACTTGAACACTTGTATTCACTTAAACTATCGAGCCTCCCAAATTCCATTAATATATCTAATGATTACTCTAGGTTTTTTATGCACTCTGCTAAGTTTGCAACAATATGAAATTAGACTTCTTTAAATTCTTATAGAAGTTGCATTCAAATTAGGAGGACAAAGAAGAAAAGACTTCATGTGATTATGTATATTTACAAAAACACAAACATAAAGAGCAAAGTAAACTTATACTAATATATGGAAGTTGAAAAGATAAAACCTATGTTGTTTGTTTTCTTATAGCAGTGACCTGCATTAGCATATACATCAATGCAAGAAATTAGGGCTAAAATATGTGAAGCATTTACTTTAAGATAGCATTAAACCAATTTGAAATATATTGCCCCACCTTCATCCCCTGAGAAAGTGATTCCAAGGTGTAATATGATCAACTTCAGTTACATCCTCGGTTACTATACAAAAAAAAAAAAAAGTAAAAATATTAACTTTAATAAAATTTCAAAAAAAAACACACATAAAAAAATATCCTAAATGAAACAAACGATTTTCGTAATTTACACGGTGCATATCCTAAATGAAACAAACGATTTTCATAATTTACATAATGCATAACCTAAATGAAACAAACAATTTTCATAATTTACTCGATGCATATCCTAAATGAAACAAACGATTTTTGTAATTTACACGATGCATATCCTAAATGAAACAAATGATTTTTATAATTTACATAATGCATAATTTTCGTAATCTAGTCAATGCATATCCTAAATGAAATAAACGGATTTTGTTATTTACATAATTCATATCCTAAATGAAACAAACATTTTTTCGTAATTTACATAATGCATATCCTAATTGAAACAAACAGTTTTTGTAATTTACATAATACATATCCTAAATGAAACAGACGGTTTTCGTAATTTACTCGATGCATATCATAAATGAAACAAACAATTTTCGTAATTTACATAATGCATATCCTAAATAAAACAAACGATTTTCATAATTTACATAATGCATATCCTAAATGAAGCAAACAATTTTCGTAATTTACATAATGCATATCCTAAATAAAACAAACGATTTTCATAATTTACATAATGCATATCCTAAATGAAGCAAACAATTTTCGTAATTTACATAATGCATATCCTAAATGAAACAAACGGTTTTCGTAATGTACTCGATGATTATGTTAAATGAAACAACGGTTTTCGTAATTTAATCAATGCATATCCTAAAAGAAACGAACGATTTTTGTGATTTACATAATGCATGTCCTAAATGAAACAAATGGTTTTCATAATTTACTTGATGCATATCCTAAATGAAACAAACAATTTTTGTAATTTGCTCAATGCATATCCTAAATGAAACAAACAATTTTCGTAATTTACTCGATGCAAATCCTAAATGAAACAACCAATTTTCGTAATTTACTCTATGCATATCTTAAAGTACAAATTAATGAAATGGTCCATGTGGATTGCAACATTTTCACGTTTGGTCCCTATGTTTTTTTTTTCACACGATCGGTCCCTAGGTTTTGGTTTTATTGCATTTTTCATCCCCTCATAGGGATGAAAAGATGATATTGTCCTTTGTCTTTATCTATTTTAGTCTTTTTTATTATTTGTTTATTATTAATGAATATAAATGATTATGTAAACTTAAAATGGAACCCACCCCAAACCCTACACCCCACACTTCTCATGTACTTCTCTCTCATTTTAACTTACCACCCAAAACCCTACACTCCACAGTTCTGAAGCCCCCCCCCCCCCCCCCCCCGGTTCATCAGAAAAATAATAAACAATCACCAGCACCACCATTGTTTTCTCTTATCTTTATAAAAACACCACCTCCCCTGAAAACATCTCTCCCTTCATTGCCTAAAACCCGCTACTAAAAACCAAAAGCTTCTAGATTTTTTGCCATCATCGACGTGAAACCACCATCATCATAGTACCATGAAGCAATGACCACCGGATTCACTATGGTGTCATGAATCTACCCCTGCTATAGTGACAAGAATGGAGGAAGACAAGTAAAGTGAACCGCCGCCGCCCTAGAACCCTTTACAAAACTAATGGCATAGAGGATGATCGAGGAGGGGGAGACGCAGTCGATGGCAAAGAGGGACGAGCAAAGGGGAGTCGATGCAGTCGATGACCATCAAGGTGGATCAGATGGGGGCGTTGAGAAGAAGAGAAGTGACTCATGAACCATATCTCCATCCCTCACTGCTTCAGATCTCCTTCCAATAGTAACAAATGTTGGTTGTACGAATGGTTTTTGTAATTTATATAATGCATATCGTAAATGAAACACACAATTTTCACAATTTACATAATGCATATCCTAAATGAAACAAATGGTTTTCGTAATTTACTCGATGCATATCCTAAATGAAACAAACAATTTAGCTAGTTTACATAATGGATATCCTAAATGAAACAAACGATTTTCGTAATTTACATAATGCATATCCTAAATGAAACAAATAATTTTCTCGTAATTTACATAATGCATATCCTAAATGAAACATACGATTTTCATAATTTACATAATGTCTATCCTAAATGAAACAAACGGTTTTCATAATTTGCTCGATGCATATCCTAAATGAAACAAACAATTTTTGTAATTTATTCTATGCATGTCTTAAATGAAACAAACGATTTTCGTAATTTACTCGATGCATATCCTAAATGAAACAAACGATTTTCGTAATTTATATAATGCATATCCTAGACGAAACAAACAATTTTCATAATTTACTCTATGCATATACTAAAGTACAAATTTCTGAAATGATCCATGTGGTTTGCAAAAATTTCACGTTTGGTCCTATGTTTTTGTTTGCACTCAAACAGTACCTAGGATTTGGTTTTAATGCGGTTTTCATCCCTTCATAGAAATGAAAAGACCATATTGTCCTTTGTCTTTATCTTTTTTAGTTGTTTTATATTATTTATTTATTACTAATGAGTATAAATGATTATATAAACCTAAAATGGAACCCACCCAAAACCCTACACCCCACACTTCTCATGCACTTCTCTCTCATTTCAATTCACCACCGCTTCTAAAGCCCTCCCATCGGAAGCTTCATCAGACAAATAATAAACAATCACCACCACCACCATTGTTGTTTCTTATCTTTCCGAAAACACCGCCTCCCCTAAAAACATCTCTCCCTTCGTTGCTTGAAAACCGATACTAAAACCTAAAAGCGTCTAGATCTGTTGCGATCATCGCCGTGAAGCCATTAACGTCATAGTACCAAGAAGCAATCACTACCAGATCCATTTCAGTGTCATGAAGCTACCCCCACAATAGTGACAAGTGTTGGGGAAAACAAGTAAATTGAACCACCACCACCTCTAAACCCTTTACATAACTAATGGCGGAAAGGATGAGCGAGAAAGGAGCATATGCAGTCGATGACCGGATCTCTCGGTGGATCAGATGGGGGCGTCGAGAAGAATGCTTCTAGTGGTGTGTGGTGATGAAGATCGGTGATTGATGGAGCAAATCAATAGATTTAAAGTGCAGATCGGTGGTGTCTTGTGGTTTCCTGGTGCGATGTTTTCCAGTGACATTTGGTGTTTTCTGGTGGCAGCCATTGATTTGCAGCGCAGACGAACTGAAATGAAAGAGAAGGATATGAGGGGTGTAGGGTTTTGGGTGGGTCCAATTTCAAGTTTATTTAATAATTTATATTATTTAATAGTAAACTAATAATAATAAATAAAAAAACTGAAAAATATAAAGATAAAGAACAATATAGTCCTTTTAGCTCCACGAGGGATGAAAAACATAATAAAATCAAAACTTAGGGACCTTCCAAGTGCAAAAGAAAAGGTAAAAACCAAACGTAAAATTTTTGCAAACCATAGGGACCATTTTAGTAATTTGTTCCCTCCATTCGCACTCTATCACCTACAAGTACAAACACCACATATCGGAGGTGTTCCATCACTCTCACGTGTTCCCGTATCACAATTACTCTACTATAAATATAAACACAACATATCATCTCAACGTGTTCACATCACCATTGCTCGTTGGAATTTTGAGAAGATGGAGTCCGTCGAATCAGCAGCCAACCTCCGTTCACAATTCCATGAAGTTCTTCGTAGTCGCCGTACTCCTATAGGTAAGATTCTATCATAGATTTGGTCAATTTTGATGTTGAATTGTTGTGAATATTTGGGCTCAAATCATACTCCAGTACAAACCTGTGAATTCTTTGCCAAAAATAATTAAACAATATAGAAAAATAAGGAGTAGTTATGGGATACACATTGCAGCTAGACTGCTATTACTGGTAGATTTTTTTAGCTAACATAGTGGCTATGGAAATCCGAGCTATTTATGTATCTAGATTTGTTTATGAATATCGACAATTTCCTCAATCTAGTAAGCAAAAAACTAAGCCGGTGTAAATTTGTATATGAGTTTTGTTTTTTCAATTCAAACTTCATTTTGCTGGGCTGCCGCTTGGTTTCAAAATATTTTTTTTCTTCATAATTCTAGTTAATAGATATATATTATTATAAGTTTCTATACTTAAGTTACAAAAAGCTTTTTAAACTAGAAAATACTTCCTCAAACATCCATACCTTGATTGAAATACCTACAAAAAGATGGATAGTCAATATAAGACATTCCAAATTTAAAACTATAAATCACATGTGAAACTTGAAGGGTATAAATGTCATACATGCTATCTTCATGTAACTCATTTTGTCCTTTTACTAATCATCATTTATGTGCAAAAGAACATGGAAATTGCAGCACACTATATCGTAATGGAATGTAAAATACACATGAAATAAGTCAATAAGTCTATCAGACTACCACTTTAAACCTTCAATAACTTGACACCATTTGCATATATGACACTCAAGATTTTTAATTATATAATAAAAAAGTAAAAATATAATTTTAATATTTGTTACAAACGAAGGTTCTAGCGTAAATGCAAGAAAGAAACATTACATTTTGTAAAAGTGGAGAGTTTTGGATAAAAAACATATGAGGGTTTATTTGCATTTACAATTATATCATTTTGTTGTATTTAGGGATACATGTGCTGAACATTTTTTTTTTTTAACAGTCAGTTATCTAATCCTGATTCTTAATGATATTTGTATTTCCATATTAGGGTAGGAATCAATAATCTGGTTTTTTGATGCAATCATCTCTTGTTTTGGTTTTACACCAATTTTGAGTTAATATATGGATGGATTTTGTAGAACATGTGTTTAATAGGCCAAAGTTGAACAATATGTTTACCAAAAACAAAGAGTCCGCATGAATTTTTCACCTTTATTAGACAGGAAGATGCAATCATGAAGAACAACAAACTCTAAATCTCCATTGATCCATGCATGTTCATTAGAGATATCAAAAATCAAAACCCCATCATGAATCACCATAGAATCGACTATTCGATGAAGTACACACAATGAAATTTTCGTTTTGAAGTTTTAATTTAGGGAAAAGAAATGGAAACTAACCGATTCCCTAGCTGAGTCTGACAACACCACCAATTTTGTCCCAAACCGGAAGCTCGGCATCTGGGAATGTCTGGTTAAATGTAGTGACCTCCATTGCAGGACTTGTACAGATAGATCACAGAAAGTGGCAGTGATCCATGACAAAAGTATTACCTGTAAAAGCCCATGCAGACGCAAAGCTGAGGAAGAAGAAGAGGACAGCAGCGAGGCAATCTCTACAAACAGACGTCAGAACAAGAGAGAAGCAGACAATAACGAAAATATAGGAAATCAAAGGTCATAGAAAGGGAAATCATAGAATACGGAATATCAATGGAGGAATGTATTACATGAAAGAACAACAAAACACAGAGAAAGAAGAGGACAAGAGAAGAGAAGACGGAAATTCAAAGAGGCGACTTGCAATACCTAAACCCCAAAAAAAACGCCACGTATGTCACAAGAAACCCAAAAATCGCCACACAGAAACATAAAGGAGCTCCTCCAGAAGAAAACCCAGCCGAGTAGAATGAGAATTGGATTAGCTTAAAACATATACCCCCGCCACCCCTGAACCCTTTAAAGTGACAAGAATGGAGGAAAACAAGTAAAGTGAACCACCGCCACCCCTGAACCCTTTAAAGAAATGACGGCGGAGAGGATGGGCGAGGAAGGAGCAGATGCAGTCGATGGCGAAGAGGGAGGAGCGAGGAGGGAACAGATGCAGTCGATGACCGGATCTCTCGGTGGATCAGACGAAATTTTTGTAAATTACAACAAAATCAAAAACTTTACGACCATCCAAGTGCAAAAGAAAACATAGGAACCAAACACGAAATTTTTGTGAATTACAAGAACCATTTCAATAAATTGTTCTCTCCATCGGCGCTATCACCTACAAATACAACCACCACTTCCCATGAGGTTCTTGCGGGTTGCATTACACTCATCGCAATTACACAATAATAAGGCAATATAGAAAAATAAGGAGTAGTTATGGGATAGACATGGCTGTTAGACAGCTAGTCGTAGTAGATTTCTTTTGAGCTAAGATAGTGGTTACGGAGATCCGAACATTGTGTGTTTTATGTATTTAAATTTGTTTATGAATATCAATGGTTTCCTCAATCTAGTAAGAGTAGTATAATGCCAGTTGCTTTCATTATAAAATAACTCGTTTGATTGTCCATAGAAAAAGTGCAAAACTTGTATGTTTCTATGGTAGCACCATGTTTCTCAATTTAGTAAGAGTAGTATAATGTTTGATTGTCCATAGAAAAAGTGCAAAACTTGTATGTTTCTATGGTAGCACCATGTTTCTCAATTAATCTAGTAAGAGTAGTATAATGCCAGTTGCTTTCATTATAAAATAATTCGTTTGATTGTCCATAGAAAAAGGTGCAAAACTTGTATGTTTCTCTGGTAGCACCATGTTTCTTTGTTGTCCATTAATTGTTGTCAAAATAAAGTAATTGAGAAGGAAAAACTAAGTTGGTGTAAATTTATAAAATGTTAAGACTTAATTGGGAAAGCCTCATTTCCCTAACTTTATCAATTAAGTTGTTCTCTTGCATGAACTCAAAAGAAAAATAACTAGCTTATCATATTAAGTCCTGAACCCATTAGGTAAAAAAAAAAAAAAAAAAAAAAAAAAAAAAAAAAAAAAAAACACCAAACTTTGTTCTTTATCTCTCATTGTCTTGTTAAGAGGGGAATTAAGTTTAACTTTTTTCATTAATAACTACTATTATCACTCTTATCCTACCATTATTATGTTTATCAATAATTTCATTCAAATATGACTTCATCTCTTTATTTGTCAAAATGTGGATTCATATTAGATTTCTACTACTTTTTTTTTTCCAGTTCCGACACTACGTGCACTTCAGACGCTACCTGCAGAACTTGTGGTGGAACCCTTATATCAGGGAATACCTGTTGACTTTGAGGTGGACATTACTTGACATATACTTTACATTTCTGTTAATCTTAGTTAGAAGTTATCTTATATGAACACTATCAGGTAATGAGATCCTACCCGAAAGCACGCATTAACGTCAAGGAACTGCTCACTGAAGAAAACTTTTACTTACCCACTGAGGTAACTTAGACCATGTTTCTTTTTTCCCGTTGAATGTTGACTCGATAAAGTTTAATATGGATATATGATGTTTAAAAGATATCTAACAAAATAACTACATAATTGGGAAGATGGAAAACAAGAGCAAATTTGTAATATGAATATATGATGCATAAAGTTTAATATGATGAACCTTATTATTTTATTAAAATTAGGAAGGAGAGCAAGGGCGTCTGCCTGTGCTCATTTTGAGCATGAAAGAATGCACACAATCAAAAAGACCAGCTGTTGTTTTTGTACATCCAAAAAATGCAAACAAAGAGTGGCTACGCCCTTCACTTGAGGTATAATATAAAATTACAATGATAGATTGGTCATTTCTTCATTTGACAAAAGACTTTGATCTAACGAGTTCTTCCTTTCAATTTAGGATTATGCTTCACGTGGATATATTGCAGTTGCCATTGATTCTCGTTACCATGGAGAACGTGCTAAAACCCCCACCGCCTATCAAGATGTGAGCTCTATAACCTTTCTTTCTTTTTATTTGGTTTATGCCAAAAAGAATAGGGCTAAATGCAAGAAAATTAGAAATACCAACATATTTCATATATTTGTTTATTATAGCATCCTACTTTGAAAAAATCTATCCAATTATAGCAATGTGATTCATATAGAAACCAGTTTTTTGTTGCTATAGTTAGGAAGAATTTTGGCAGTACAATAGAGAATATACTAATTATCTTTCATGATCTCAAAGCATAAATATGACTTCAATTTCATATATTCTGGATCTAGGCTCTTGTTTCAACATGGAAAAGAGGTGATACAATGCCATTTATATATGACACAATTATACTTGTTCACTCTTGAATTTTTCTAATGACATTTATTATATACTTTTAATGCCCAAATGTTTAACATTTATTATGTTTTAGGTGTGGGACCTTTTAAAGTTGGCAGATTATCTAACCACAAGAGATGATATAGACCATTCCAGGATAGGAATAACTGGGAATTCACTTGGAGGTTGAATTTTAATATTTTATTAAACACATCATCTAGAAATAACAAGTGTATATATATTCTTTTATTATGAGTTATTATGCTTTTAAGTCCATAACTCATTTATTGATATGTGATGCAGGAATGCATGCATGGTTTGCTGCTTTTGTGGATACATGTTATTCAATGGTTGTCCCCGTAATTGCTGTTCAGGTATTATTTGTTTTTGACTTAATGGGATTAATTTAACAGTTAATCTAACCTACTAACTTAATATGAATGTGTAGGGCTTTCGGTGGGCCATAGATAATGATTAATGGCATGCTCGAGTTGATAGTATTAAGCCTGTGTTTGAAGGTAATTCAGACGCTACTTTACAAAAGAAATATAAAATCTCTATGTTATATATGTTATTACCTCTATGTTTAATAAAACATCTAAGTTAGGTTATATATATCAGTGTTTAATGACTTTCAACTGTAAATTTGTACAAATTTCCCTCATTTATTTCCTCAAATATATTTAGAAAAATTGTTTAAAAGTTCTCTTAAAATATGTGTGTGTGTGTATATATATATATGGTTTTTAAAATCTTATGGCTATAGTTAGCACATGCACTCTTTCTAAATTATAAAATTTTTCATGATTTTGTGATGGTGCGTTTGTATTCTTTTTATTCAGAAGCAATGATTGATTTAGGGAAGGAAGCCATTGACAAAGAGGTTGTGGAAAAGGTATGTCCCATAAAGATTGCTAAATGTGTTGCTGACGTGGCATTCGGTTGGCGTCTAACTGTTGTTGTGCTACTATTTTGACCAGGTTTGGAATAGAATAGCTCCTGGTTTGGCGTCTGAGTTTGACTCACCTTATACGGTGCCAGTCATTGCACTACGCCCTTTGTTGATTATAAATGGTAAAATGACTAATCCACCCTCCTCTTCTTGATCCATTTTTTTTTTCTGATGACTTAATAACATGGAAAAAACTATCAGGTCAAGACGATCCCCGTTGCCCAATCGAACGTATTGATGTTACCATATTTTAAACATAAAAAGCTTTCGAATATGCCCAATGTTTGAATCATTTCAAGGTGTTGACTTTTGACTCTTGACTTTTCACCAATGTTTCTTGCTTTTTCTAAATGAGAAATTTGCATGGAATAGCTATGTACTTTACTACCAGAGAATATTAGCAAGTTGCTATTATGGGTAATAAATTTAGTAGATTGTCTACATTGGTAAAAAAAAGTAAAATATAATTGTATATGATTAATATTGTGTTGTATATGAGGTAATAATGTGATTTATTATGAATTAAATTCAGGTGATAATCGAACCAGGAATTGGACATGATGTGACTCCATCAATGCTTAAAGATGCAAGTGATTGGCTTGACAAGTTTCTCAAACCATAGAAACTTCTCATGCATAGCTATGTATCTTATGCTCGACTAAATATTGTTGTCTATTGAAAAAGTATATCTATATCACGTAAATAAAGATTTGGCATCATTATTTGTATTAAACACATGAAAAGGACTTCCAATAAACGAAACTTATTCCAAATTCAGTTACTCCTTTTCAATATTTTTTATTTTGAATGTGATGGTAAAATTTAAATACGTGTCTCAAGATTTGTGTTGTCTATTTGAAAGATATAGTTGTTGGTTATTCTATCTATAACGCCCCGCTTCTCAAGTATGGTAAATATGAGTTTTTGGATTAGGCCCTACTCGACAAGTTGGTTTACCTACTCGTCGAGTAGCAGCGACAAGGATCGCGGGTTATGTGACCTACTCGGCGAGTCCATAATGGGACTCGGCGAGTAGGAGCTGGCAAGTGAAACCCTAATTCTCGGGGTTTGCACTCCTATTTAAAGGGACCTTAACCTCCCTTGGACCTCCTTATAGTCCCAAAGAACCCTTGAGAGCCTTATTCGTGTGTGTGCCTTGTGTGTGTGTGTTTGAAGCTTGAAAGCGAGTTCTTGGAGGGACAAGACTTGGAGGAGAAGAAGATTGAAGCAATTGGAATGTGGGAATCAACACTCATATCAAATATCAACTTCAAAAGGTACCCAAACCGTTATTCTCCTGATAAATCTCCTTTATTGGGTGAGTTTAGGGTTTTCATTGAATATCAAGTTAGTATAATGAGCTATGGGCTAGATCTGAATTTATAACTTAAGATCAGGACCCTCTTTGGATTCTAGAAGCGTAAAGTTGCAGCTTTAGTCATGATTGAGGTCCCCTTTGTGCATAAAGACCCATCAATAGCTTAGATTTGCCATTTTGAGCCTTTAAAGCCACGCATGCGCGTAAAGTTTGCAACTTTACGTGATAAGCATGCTCTAGAAGCTTAGATCTGTGATTTGGAGCTACTGCATGGCTCAAAATGGATCTGTATTGGATCCGTGATAAGCATGCCGATGAAGATTGTCATAAGACTCGACGAGTTGAAGAACAACTCGGCAAGTCGGATGAGTTTTAACCAAGAATAATGTTCGCGAGTATATCCGTCGAGTCGCAGGGAGGGAACTCGACGAGTGGCCTTAAGGTATGATCAGGATTCGAAGGAACTCGACGAGTCACCTTGATGACTCGGCCAGTTGGATTGTGCTTCAAAGGACTCAACGAGTAGCTGGGTGTACTCAGCGAGTTGAGGTCAACATGGACTGTTGACCTTGATTGAGGACTTTGACCTTGATAAGGGGTTGACTATTGGGTTATGGAGTACCTTATAAGGATAAAGACTTATGCTTATATTGAACTATGGTTATTATTTATGATTGAAACAGTTTAAATTTGGTGTGAATTTTATGGATGTTACAAGTTGGTATCAGAGCCTTGGTTTGAGTGAATTAGAGGAACAATCGTGTGAATCCAGTCTCAAATCAAGTAGATTTTCGGAAATAAGTTTAATATGGTTTTCAAAATAAAGGATGGAGGATGCAGACGGTACGATCAGCCGGAGCCTGTTAGTAAACCCCAAAATACCATGCAGTTATATAATATTTTGATATGTTAGAACAACATGCTAGTGTTAGGCTAGGGATCTTCAGGAATCTCATGATAGATTTGCCTGATTGCATGATGCCTATTAGCCTAGGGTTTCTTGTATGTGGAATTGACATCATAGTTGTAGATGTTTAGTGTATGCATCACGGTTGTGCATAATAAAGACCTTATAGCCTGAGGATGTTAATTCGGCCTTCGGGTGGGATCGGATATTCGAAAGTCTATTGGGTCCAGCGTTATGTGCAGCTAGCATGCATTGGCGCTGCAGGGGATGATGGAAGTTTCATGGATGTGAGAGTCGTGATAAGTGGCGAGTCTAGATGCGAGGTGTTTGGTATTCCCCTAGAATGAGGGTTGAGCGCATTTCCTATGTTGATGATATTGTTAGGGAGTTTGTGGTGATACTTGAGACAAATATGGGTAGGTGTGGAAGGTAGTATAGGCCCATACTACTGAAAGCACGAGACCCATACACGTAGAAAAGAAGTCACAACCCCTAGGGTTTTTGGTTTTTGGTCTCCCATCATTATGTTATTTATCTGATGACTTGTATATATTTCAGTATGGTGGTGACGAGACATGTTGCTTCATGATCCGGATTAGGATCAAGATCGGGGTCGGGAGACGGAGGGTTGGAGGTGTCGGTAGCACCCAAGCCCGTGGTTCAGATAGGGACAAAGGAGTTGGATGCTAGGATTCGGGAGATCATGCACGACAAGATTACTACTGCGTTCCGAGCGCAGCTGCCAGAGATGTTTGGGTCGATTAAGACTGCGATGGTTGAGTATTTTGACGAGCGATATGCAGCTCTAGCAGAGACAGCTATCGTTGCTGCCACTTCGGCTGTAACTGCGGCAGGGGTTGGAGGAGGAGCCGACAGGGCTTTCCATTACCGGGACTTCGATAATATGAAGCCCCCGATGTTTGATGGTACACAGGATGCGATTAGGGCTATGAGGTGGTTATCTGACGTGGAGGCCTGTTTCTTCACGTGCTCATGTCCTGTTGACCAAAAGGTCAGGTGTGCCGTGAACCTACTGAGGCTTGGGGAAAAGGACTGGTGGAGGCTGACGACTGGATTGTATACTGATGATCAGAGGGCTGTTGTTACTTGGGAGCAGTTCAGAGATATATTCCGCACCCGCTACATTCCACGTGTTGAGCGGGAGCGGCTTGCGCAGGAGTTTCTGACCGTGAGATAGGATGGGGAGTTTGTGATGGAGATTACCTGTATGTTCACAGAGAGGGCTATGTTTTTCCTGGAGTTCGCTTCAGAGCAGTCTCAGATGACTCATTATCTGAGCATGCTCAAGACTGATATTCGACAGTTCGTGTCTACAGAACGATGTGATACCCTCCTGGACCTTCAGGAAGCCACGAGGCGGCATGAGTTGGAGATATAGCTGCAGCTAAAGGAGTAGCATCATGCACCGGCATAGTCCCAGCCGGCGCCTAAGCGGTCTAAGACCACTAATACACGGTCTGGAGGTCAGCAGAGCCGCACTTGTGGAAAGTGTGGCAAGTTTCATTCGGGAGTTTTTAGAGCAGGAGGTGGGTGCCACAAATGTGGCAAGGAGGGGCACTATGACAGGGACTGCCGCCAGTCCTCCCCTCCCACAGACATGAGGATTTGTTACCATTGTCATCAGGTTGGTCATGTGAAGACCAACTGTTCGAAGCTCGCCGCCAAGTCGGTGTATGGTTCCGCGTCAGCTGCTGCGAGGATTGGAGAAGGGATGCCAGTCAAGGTGGAGCCTCGAGGCTCAAGGTCGCGCCTTCCAACTCACGGCTGAGGAGGCCAAGTCAGCACCAGATGTGGTTGCTAGTACGTTTCTATTCTCTGTCTTAGTTATTGTATTGTGCTATGCTTATTGATTGTACCTGTGATTAGGTACGTTTTTAGTAAATTCTTTGCCCGCTTTGGTATTATTTGACTCGGGGGTGAGTCGGCCGTTTGTATCTCAGTCCTTCTCTAGAGGGTTCAGTATGCCGATAGATGATCTTGAGTATCCGTTGCGAGTTTTGATCGCCAACGAGCATGGGGTTTTTGCTTCTTCGGTCTACCGGGGATGCAAGTTAGAGATTTTTGGGGTGTCCTTCTCGATAGATTTCGTTCTATCCCCATGGGGGATTTATGTGTGATTATAGGGATGGATTGGCTTAGCTGTTTTGGTGCCATGATCGACTGTGAGGGACAGCGGGTGGTGGTTCGAACCCTATGTGGGGGAGAACTTGTAGTGTATGGTGAGGGCACCAGGATGGGATCAGGGTTTTGTTCAGTAGCCAGGGCTCGACAGTATATTCAGCACAGGTGTGTCGGTTATTTGGTGTATGTGGTAGATACGCGGGTTAGAGAGCAGCTCTCAATTTCTAAGGTCCCAATGGTGAGGGAATTTGCTAATGTGTTTTCGGAGGAGTTACCCAGAATGCCTCTGGAGAGGCAGGTTGAGTTTAGGATTGACTTAGTGCCAGGTGCGGCCCCTATCACCAAGGCGCCGTACCGATTGGCACCGCCTAAGATGTTGGAGCTATCATCTTAGTTGTAGGAGCTGCTGGGCAAGAAGTTTATTCATTCGAGATGTTCACCCTGGGGAGTGTAACGCCCAAGTTTCAGGGCTAAGCATTTTTGACAATGTAATATTCTAGGTCAACTATTGTAACTCTTTTTGAAGTAATAAAGATGAAATATTTGAGTATTATGTGAATTATGCGCTTACTATTTAATTATAAATGTATAATTAATAAAGAATAAAAATAAGCGTCAAAATTAAAGTATGAGATAAGCCTAATATCTTTATACAAACTTGTAGTAGTCGAAACAGGGATTCCAGAGATATAAAGAACGCCGAAATCTGAGTTATAACGAAGAAGTTATGACCCGTTGAAGTTTCGCGACGGAACCGACACGATACCGGGAAGCGTATATAGTGAATTTACAATAGAGCGAGATTTAACCTTATAAATCTAAACAAAAGTCATAGAATACATTAAACCAAGAGCGTCCATAAAAAGAACGCCCAAATCTGACTTCGTATGAGGAAGTTATGATTTTTTGAAGTTTCGGATTAACAGTGTACAACCCGAAATTTGAATATTAGATCGAGCGGTTTTTAGCCGACACAACCTGAAAGAGAATTGAAGATCTCGTTAAGAGTAGCGTAGCGAGAAAAATATGGGCGAAAACTGACATCAAATGAAGAAGTTATGAATTTTTAACCGATCAATCCTGTCCCGGCCTATTAATAATATAACTTTTGAAATAAAGTCAAAATTAGCCGACAAAGTCTAAACGAAAGTTGTATAGTACGTTCCCACCTTTGCGTGGATATAAAAAACGTCGAAAACGGAGCTCGTATGCAAAAGATACGAATTTTTGAAGTTTGGATCCAAAGTTGCGAAGTCTGGAACAAAATTGATGACGTGGCGCTTTCTGAACCGTCCAACGCTAATCAGTGCTCGCTCCTGATGCAGCCACCTCGCCTCATTTCGCTACGCCCCGCATCCGAAGGAGTTACACCCCGCGTAACTTCGTGTCTGATCCATCCGATGTTGCGAGCCAGTTGTGCAACGCTGGCAATCTTATCCGAGGACTACGCCCCGCGTAGCCTCCCTACGCCCAGCGTAACCGAGGCTGCTGGCGCCTATATAAGGGGTCCAAAC